TATTTCTTTTATTGACACTTAACAACAACGTGCGCGCAGACGTGAGCAAATTTCAAGCTAAGCCAGCGGCAATAAATAAACCGCCATCTTTGCGCTTGACCCGCCTCGAGTCGCGCAGCCAGTCGCCTCTTTGTCTTTGTAATAATTTTCACTGCTGCGCTCTGCTGTGCCCGCTCTGCTTGCAGTGTGGCCAGAGCCTTATGCGGCAAAGCCGCGCCCGCTCCGGTTTGGACAAAAGCGCAAAGAGCAAATGCAATATCTTGGTAGTGAGTATCTTTGGTATACCTTACAGTGCCTGGAATGGCTGTAAGAAGCAGAATGGAAGCAGCTGGCCCTCTAAATTATTTGAATCAATGTTGGCAAAAATTATTACAATGCATCTTGTTTTATATAGTAGGTACTGCGTGATGTTATTCAAGTGAGTGAGGAAGACATGGGCTTGTCAGAAGCTTATGGGCTGGGCATGGGCTAGACGGTTCAAGGTCCATACTTTTTGGGCTCGCCTAGCCTGGTCAGGAACATGTGGGCTGGACATGGGGAACATGCAGGCTGGACATGGGGAACATACGACCTGGACATGGGGACCTATGGGCTGGACACGGGGAACATGTGGGCTGGACACGGGGAACATGTGGGCTGGACACGGGGAACATGTGGGCTTGCCAGGAACATGCAAGCTTCATCTGGGCCAGGTGTGGGGCAGGGTCGAACAAACCAGATGTTTCTGTTTGGCACGTCTATATACCAAGCAATGCCCTTGTCTTGTGGGTAAAAACGAGTGGGGCAGACATGGGGCCCATGTGGATATGTCAAGAGATATATGGGATGCGTCTGGGTCAGGCATGGGCTGGACATGGGCGGACACATATGGGCCCTTTCCATCGCCCAAGTGCAAAAACCACATGGCGCAGTGTGGGACTACCAGATGGTGCCTATATGCGAGACCATAATATGGTGCCAATGTGGTACCCATCTCTTTGTGCAGGCTGGGTTGGCCCCTTGCCTCTTGTCTGTAAATGTTTAGAACCAGTCAAGATGTTAACCGGTGCTAATCTGTTACACCACCAGCCCCGCTACATCGCCAACTTTATTCTCATCAAAATGTTATAATAAGGTTTGACTGTGTATATAAGTGTAATGTAGATAACCTGGCACTTTTTTCTTTGACCCCCTCCCTCTCCTTCCCACCCCACCCTTGCAAAGACTAACATGGCAACTAAAGGCAAAAACAAGAAATAAACATAACAGGCACGATGGGTAAAGCTGAGTTACAGTTCAGGGTGATTCGGCAGAAAACAACCTTTATTCCACCTCAGTTAGCAATACAATAGGCCTATATGTGCTAGTATTGCATGTACATTTCTTTCTCTCACTAGGTACCATATTGCTCCAATCAACGCCAGTGCCCTTGCAACATCTGCTGCAAGCAACATAACTGAAGAGAAATTATGTCCAAACATGAAAGATGAGCAAACTAGGACACAAATCATACCTTCTAGTTTGAGGGCTGTTGTGTAATGCTGAGACGTCCAGGGAATGTGTGCTGGAATGTTCCTTGTAGCCATTGTGAATTGTCACAGGGGTGGGTGGCCTGTCAGACAAGAACATATATATTTAAATTGCTGTAACAGCGAGAAAAAGGACACTTCAAATCATTAGGAAACATGAACTTGTCTTCCAAATAGGCTTCGAAACAGTGACAGTCAATATAAGCATAAGTGTTCTTTTCAATTCATAGAAGTTGCAGCCAAAGTCTGTGTCCCCAACACTAATCAAAAGATATGAGGCACATCTCCATAGTTGAGTTCAGGATTTTTTAGCTGTTGTTAGCGATAGATCTGCCGTCGTAAGGGAAAACGACGAATGGTCCTGCGCAGGTAGCGAGGCAAATTTTTCAGGAGAGGCAAAAACTATTTTCACTTTATATCTCTTCTATTTTTCACTCTTCTAACCTGTAATTCACCAGATATCTGATTCATCATCATCATCAGGTGCCTTGCCGACTGGCGTGGGCGACCATGGACCTCCACTTCACCCTGTCCTTCGCTGCAGCAATGGTGTCTGTTGTTCTTGCTGCTCCCAACCATGTTGTCATCTTGTCCAGTATCTTTTCCCTCTGTCTGCCTCTGCCTCTCTTTCCATCAAACTTTCCTGTTGTGACAATATTCTCTAATGCTTCTTTCCGCATTGTGTGTCCGAAGAAATTTGCCTGTCGTTTTCTTATATTCGTGATAATTTGTTTTCTATAATTTGCTTCAACCAGGACTTCGTTTGTTTTTCTAGCTGTCCATGGGATACGTAGCATGCCTCTTATGAACCACAACTCTGTCGCTACAATTGTTCTTTCCAGCTGTTTATTGATTGTCCACGCTTCGCACCCGTATAATAGGATTGGCTCGATGTAACTTTTCAGTACTCTTTTCCTCGTTTCCAGTGACAGATTGATGTTTGTTAGTATCTGTTTCATCTTGTGGAAGGTTGTTTTTGCTTGGCAAATGCGGCTTTTAATTTCGGTGTGACATCTACCATCTGATGATATAATGGTCCCCAAATATTCAAAATGTTGTACTTGCTTGAGGGTGGAATCGTTGACTTTGCTATTGCATGTTGGGATTGGAGTTTTTCTGCTTATCACCATCGTTTCGGTATTCTTGATGTTTAGGCTTAAGCCCATGTTGTCACTCTCTTGTACGATGACATTTAATAGATTCTGCAGGTGTTCTTCATCTTCTGCTATAAGGACTGTGTCATCTGCATATCTTAGATTGTTTATATTATGTCCCCCAATCGAGATACCAGGCATTTCTTCTATGTGTCTCATGATATTTTCACTATACAGGGAGAACAAGTCTGGAGAAAGTACACATCCCTGTCTGACTCCTCTTTTAATCTGTATGCATTCGCTGATGTCATTTTCTATTCTCATTGCAGCAGTTTGATCCCAGTACATGTTTTTGATAATCCTTAAATCTTTCCCGTCGATGTTAAGAACTTCCAGCATGTCGATGATCTTGTCGTGCCTAACTTTGTCGAATATATCTGATTGGGGTGCTCATATTGCAGTTTCTAAAGTTTGAATGGTTTGGGTTAAAAAGTAGCTAAGTAATTCAACATTCGTCGTTCTCCCTTACACTGCGCACCCGCAGGGGAGCCTTGCGATGTACGCAAAAACGACGAATGGTACGGTTCGTCGTTCTCCCTTACACCCGTGAATGTTTATAATTATGGGAGTAGGCGATGGTCAGTTGTGACGCATTATTGACAGTAATGACTGTGTACTGGTTACTACAAATAAAAATAAAACGTATACAAACTAGCTATTATTTTACGTATAAAGTTCGGTGTTTGTTATGTCCCAACTGTAATTCGGTAAACGTTCTTCGTTTGCCTTCCTCGCTTGGTTAAATACTACAGTCAGCGTACAAATCAGATGTGTGCACATTTTCAACAGCTTGATTTAAAACTGTCTCATTCGGAACAAAAGTTTATCTCCATGATATCTCTTTATTGTATTCCCTTCAGATGCGAGTTTTACTTTTATTTTCGCTAATTGCAAAATTTTCCCTGCACGACCAAAGGGATCAACAATGTTACCATGTCCATAATACGATCAGATCATTGCAAAGTCAAACTTTCTCGTAAGAAATGTAACAATCTGACAAGACTGTATCACAAACGCTTTCGGGAGAGGTAATGCGACGCTTTGTATTTAATAAAGGATTCAGTTGATCGGAAAATATACCACAAAGTAGAGATCAACAAGGACAGTTTGAATCTGCAAGACATTATTATACTCGATCGTAACGTCCATCATGTCATAAAAAATCGTAAAGCAAGACTAAGTGTCGCCACAATACGTCCACTTTTTTAAGTTGGACAAAGAAATTTACTCTCATAAGGCAATGTCATTAATTGCTTGGTAATTCTATAAGGATGTCGACCAGTGACACGTGCTAGACAAATTGCGGCACTATAGCCATCGTTGGGATTTGGGATGTCAAATGACTGGACAGCAAACTAACATGACGTTAGTCTGTGAACATCTGGCGGACACTAATAGGCAGTGCTAATAAATTTCTCCCTTAATACTTTTTTGACCCTCCCATTCCCACCCCTTTCCCCCTGTTCCCATCCGTTTTCCCCTCCCTCCCGCCTGCTCTTCTCAATTTACACAATCAGCATAGGCCCAATACCTGAAGACAGACAGAAAGACACACTAAGTTATACATTCTTATAAACCTGGTCGACGGTACTCCGGGGGAGGGGGTGGTGCTGTGTTTGCTTTAAAAAAACCTAGTATGTTTGTACTGACGCAACAGTGACCAATTGTCATTCATCACCCATGCCAAATTTGCAAAACGGCAAGGACCAGGGGTCAACGCCGAACGAGCAGTGATCCCTTGACCGATCGACCATTCGTCGTTCTCCCTTACACTGAGCTCTGGCTCGGAGCTCGCCAGTGTATGGGAAAACGACGAACTCTCAATTATGCAACAACGGATTTGAATAAGACAAAAAAATTTACACCATCAGATGCAGAATTAAATACTCTATGAAATATATGAAAATACAAAAATAGAAAAATTTTGACCATTCATCGTTTTCCCTTACGACGGCAGTGATATCAGTCCAATTTTTTAGTACTATGTACTAATCAAATGCAAAAAGTAGCACAAATAGAACTACATAAGAACATACAAACCCATTTCAACAAAATGTACTCATAGAATAACTATCTACACCATCATCAGCTCTTCATTCTAAGTCACAATATTGAATTAGCCACAGAGATACATAAGATAAATGATAAATAATATCTACTTCATAGGGAAGCTTGTTGTCTTACTCAAAAGTAATTTTTTAGTCTATTACAATCACAAAGCGAGTTTGTTCTTTAAGTCACACGTTCCACAAGACCAAATGACAAACCAACAACATGATGCTTCCCTATAATTCAACAATCAGCTGTTTCCAGAAACCATAATGCATTGAGCGGTTGAAGAGAAGTAAACGGAAATAAAAATAGTCGTATATTAAAGAACAAAAATTAACATTTGGACATTAAATTAACACTTTGCAGTCACTTGCCGAAATAATGTGAAGGTGAAAATTATCCGTTCCGGTTACCAGGCTAAAGATGTCTGTTGCAGTCACTCTCCTGGCTGGGTGACCAGATGGGGTATTTTGTACTGCTGGCTGTGTGACTGCAAAGTGTTAATCAGTGTGACTTTTCTCGAGTTTTAAAGGCTCTCCAATCTATCAGAGATGGACACCTAACTTAGAAATCTAACCTCATAAAATAATCTTTCAGAGTTCAAAAGACCATTTGGCCCTTACTAAAGTTACTACACTTTACCATTAAATGCAATAAAAACAACATTTGTCTAACACAAATGAATAGCAAGGAACCCTTTACATTTCATACTTTTAATTCTGATCAAATCAAACTGGTTAAAAAAAACATCTTACACAATGAAAGACAAGTCCAGAGTCTTCTGCGGCGTGTCTGGAAAATGCGGCAACTGGTTTTGTATGGACTTGGAGGGGACACAGTCAAACGACTTCTTAATGGAGTGACCTAGCTGCTTGGACCCCGACCGCTGTAAATGAAAAATACATGATGTATGAAAGTAAAGAGAAGCACATCAACACAATAACAGTCATTAATTTGGAGCAACGAAAGAGCAAGAAAGACAGACAAAAGCAACAGATGGAAAGAAAAGAAGAAAGAAGTATGCCCTGCCAGCAGTACCCTTTAAACACCTGCACAATAAATGTGAAGTCAGAAGCAAAGTTACAAATTTTGTTTATCAGCCCCCTCAGCACAGAGTGGTCATTTAAGCGCAATAAAAGGACTGGGCATTTCAGCATCAGTGGTGGCTTACAGAAACTTTAAGGACAAATGAAAAATAAGGAGCAAAAATTTCATTCTTTCAGTGCCAATCCAAGAAATATTGTTGTTTTGGGTTTTTTTGGTAAGTGTTCTACATCGCTCGCAACTGCATAGGCCTAAGGATATATGAGAACACAGGACACATTAACTCATTCCGGCCAGAGCGACGAGAGTCATCGCCGGCCGAACATGCTTTCGGAGGAGGAACAACGTTTGCAACTTCCGAATGTATTTGTGTCAAGACCGGAAGCTTCCCTGCTAGTTTCGTTATTAGTCGGCTTTTTCAAGAGAATTTTGCGTGGTTTCTTTAGTTTGAAGTGTCGATCAAAATAAAGCAAACCCGTTTGTTTAGAATGGCAACAGACCAGACCATCAATGATTTATTTATAGAGGCACCAGCCATCCATGTCCAGGTGCTGTTTTAGCCTCTTTTTCCTGTATTCGGATTAAAAAATATATTTTTGCCAATTTATTGGTTCCGCTTCTATGTATCCCATATCTATGGTTCTCAACTTGGAAATCGCCTATAATTCGCTGTAATAG